CTGGAGTATTTTGGAAAGCAAGGTAGGCACTAAAAAATACCAAAGTGTCGATCAACTCAAGCAAGCGCTTCGCCGGGAGTGGGCCAAAATACCGCAGAGTAACATTCGGGAAGCGTGTGACGGTTTCATTGGCCGTTTGAAGGCCATAATTCGTGCCAAAGGTGATCAATTCGAAAAAATCTGAACTTATTCTTAAATTTGATGCTATTTCCGACATTTTTGCTTTCATTCAATAAAATTTAAAAATGAATCTAAAAAGTATGGCATTTGTCTTCGTTGCAGTTTTTTTATCTCACCCTGTAGATAACACGATTTATTGTTGCTTACGCTCTCGTCTGGTTTGGTATCATATCCAAGTAGATGGTGAGGCTTAGGAAGTTGGAGCGTTAGGGATCTATTAGTTATTATTATTATTATTAGTTATTATTATTATTAACTGTAATAGGGCTTATGGAGAAAGAATTGATTGTGTCCTGTTAGGTGCACTGCATTTCTTGGACCAATCTGACAGATTTGACAAAGCTGTCTCGGTGTTGCCCTTCGCTGAAATCTGAATGGTATCACATACAGGTAGATGGAGAGGCCTAGGAAGTGAGAGCGTTACGGATCTATTAGACAATAACTTTAGAAGATCTTATACATAGAAGGTCCTTTGAAGGTCTTTTGTTTGCAGAAGACTAAAGGAAATGTTGATATGTGCGGGAGACCTTCTCCTATGTGTACAGAGAACACATACGAAGACTTCTGGCTCAAGAAATCCTATAAAAGGTTTGGTCCTTTGAAGGTATTTTATGTACAGAAGACTACAGGAAATGTTTTATAGGATTTCTTGAGCCAGAAGTCTTCGTATGTTTTCTGTACACATAGGAGAAGGTCTCCCAACATGGCATAGCAACATTTCCTGTAATCTTCTGTACATAAAATACCTTCAATGAAATGAATGTCCTTGAGGAGATCCTCTATACGTAGAAAACCTAGAGAAGGATTTTTCAATGCGTGGCATTATTGGCATTATTCAAAGAAAAACTCAATTTTTATATCCGTCATTTTGTTTAAAACATCTTCAAATATTATTCAAAGTCGATGTAGCGATGTCCGTCTGTCTGTTTGACATCAGGGTACATATTATTATGTATCAATGTATATGTAAATATGTACATCATTAATATTCCGTTCTCCTTTCGAAACATCATCTATTTTCCAGACTTATTAACGATGACAAGATAACTGTCATCTCATTGGACATGTTTGTAAAGAAATAACTGACAAAAATATATACGACTAGCTGAGAAAGATGATGGACTGAACGAATGCAAGTCATGTGAAATATGAAACCACAAATATCACCAAAAAATGGACAATGTAAAACCATATAAAGACCGAAAGGAGAGTTGGAAACTAATGCATATCTCTTGTTCTGATTCTACTTTGAAGTTTTATTTTTTTTTCGGGAATACTGAAGGAAGGGAAAGGTTAGGTTGCACAGGTTCCGTTTACTTCATTGTTTCCGGTTTGCTCATCACCCAGAGGAAATAATTAAATCTCCTTTTCCTTTTTTGTCTACTTTTACAAGAATGAAAAAAAAGGATAAATGCTGGCCAAATGAACGTCACACGAGAATGAAATTTGGGTAGGGGGAAATATATTATGATTTGTTTTGGACGGGGGGGGGATAATGTAAACTATCACCCTCACCTTTTTAAGCATTGTCGTTATTATAATCATCATGGTTTTTGTCATCTCACTCCCATAGCCTATCAACACTCTCTGCTGACAGTGATGAATAACTCAGGACAAATGATGCGAGTTTGTAGTTTTAAATGAGCTAACATTGAAGTTTCTTTGTACACCTTGTATTAGGTAAAGGAAGAATCTTTAGGTTTGGTCTTTCTATGTACAGGGTGAGGTAAAAAAACTGCAACAGAGTCAAACGGCATAATTTTTACATTTTTTTTTAATTTATTGAATGAAAGCAAACAAGTTAAAAAGAAGTAAGTTCGGCCGGGCCAAACTTTGAATATCCTCCATCATTTGGAACGAATTTAGAAATTAAAAAAAAAAATAAAATCCACTATACGACGTGGACCTACATAGGCATTGTTTACCATTAGCCATTACCATATTCAAATTCCAAACTTGAAATAAACAGTTAATAATATAGCTAAAATCATCAGAATATCGTATATAGGGAGGTACCATTATATCGGAGCTGTGCGAAGACCTGGACCAGCATAGACACAGGCTCTTGCATCCATTACTAACGTCAAATACGATATCTCAAACAATTTCGGTGGGTATTGTACCTAAACTCGTCAAAATACCGAATATAGGGAGGTACTGATATATGGGGCCTATACGAAGACCTGGACCTGCATAGACATTTTTCTGTCACAGACTGTAGTTCCCATTACGAACTCTAAATATGTAATTTGAAACAATTCCGGTGAATAATTGCGCTAAAATCATCAAAATACCGAATATGAGGAGGTACCGTTATATGGGGGCTCTGCGAAGACCTGGACCTGCCCAGATAATTTTCTGTCTTAAGCTGTAGTATCCATTTGGAACTTCAAATACCAAATTTGAAACAATTCCGGTGAATAGTGTCGCTAAAATCATCAAAATACCGAATATCGGGAGGTACCGTTATATGGGGGCTATATGAAAACGTGGACCTACATGGCCCATTTACGAACTTAACTTGCCTACTGGAAAAATAAACATGTGTGCAAAATTTTAGCCTTCTATCTCAATTCGTTCGAAAGATAGCGTTATTACAACAGACAGACGGACAGACAGACAGACAGGCAGACAGACGGACATGGCTAAATCGACTTAGAATTTTACGCTGATCAAGAATATATACTTTGTTGGGTCTGACATGAGTATTTCGAGGAGTTACAAACGGAATGACAAAGTTAATATACCCTCCATAGTATGGTGGAGGGTATAAAAATGTCGGAAATAGTATCAAATTTTAGAATAAGTTCAGATTTGTTTGAATTTATGGCCTTTATACGGTCAATGAAACCGTCACACGCTGTCCGAATGTTGCTCTGCGGTATTTTGGCCCGGCGAAGCGGCCAAACCTTGCTTTCCAAAATACTCCAGACACAATAGTCTAACGGATTGGTATCCGGAGATTTTGTTGGCCATTGTGCGCTGGAAATGAAGCGAGGAACCTCATTTTGTAACCATTCTTGGGTGGCGAGTGCTGCGGCCAAAATGTTTGCTTGCCCAAGGCTTTTAGATACACCCTCCAGAATATTTTTGCGATAATATTCGGCATATATTCTGATGCCACGGTCGATTAATACGAGCGGAGAGCGACCATCGGCTGTTATGGCGGCCCACACCATCTCCCTCGCCGGCGCTTGATTTTTGGCTTTTGTGCGGTGGAAATGAAGCGAGGAACCTCAGTTTGTAACCATTCTTGGGTGGCGCTTGCTAAGTGCGACGGTGCTGAGTCCTGTTGGAAAGTCCAAGGTCTGCGGCCAAAATGTTTGCTTGCCCAAGGCTTTAATACACCCTCCAGAATGTTTTCGTGATAATATTCGGCATTTATTTTAATGCCACAATCGATTAATGCGAGCGGAGAGCGACCATCGGCTGTTATGGCAGCCCACACCATCACCATGGCCGGCGCTTGAGTTCTGGTGTCCAACCGAAGGTGCACACTTTCAACTGACCTATTAGGCAAGTAAACACGATCGTTTTGTTTGTTTACAAACTGCTGGATAACGAATGTTTTCTCATCGGAAAAAACCAAACTCGGCAGTTTACCACTTTCGGACAAGCGAAGCAACTCTTTAGCTCTTTTGAGTCTATTTTCTTTCTGTTGCGGTGTAATTTCTTGCACTTTTTGGAATTTCAATGGCTTTGCCACGAGCTCATTTTTCAATATTTGCCGAATGGAATATTGTGATATTTTTTAAGCTCAAGAGCCATTTTTCGGCCATTGCGAAGCGAGTGTCGACCAAGTCGTTTCTTTACTTTTCGAACCATTCTGCTGATGTTGCTGTTTTCTTCCGTCCACTTCTTTCACGTTGGAGTACGCTACCAGTATCACGGTCACGAGCGATGGTTTGAGACACAAAAGATTTATTCGCATTTAAATGCTGGAGTGCTCTAACGATAGCCACTTGTGGTTTTCCAGCCAAATATGAAGAAATCACACTATCACGCTTGAATTCCGTCACGAATAATCTTTTTTCTGGAAAATTCTCACCAAAATGCTTTTGTACGCTTGTAAACAATATAATGAGCTGTCACTGGAATAATTTTAACAGCTGTCGGACGTGTGGCTTAGAAGTGACAGCAGTCTGAAGTTGGTTGCAGTTTTTTCATCTCACTCACATGAAGGAAATTAAGAGTATCTTCCATTGAGACCAGTAGGATGGTTTCTCAAGATAGAAGACTTATGGAAGTCTTCTATAAAGGAAATACCAATAGCAGGTCTTCTATGGATAATAGACATACAGAAGGACTTCTTTAGGAAGATCGATAGAGTCTTCTGTGTGTAAAAATCGAAAATCCATTCTGAAAGGTCCCTTTGCAATTTTCATCACAGATAAAAGTCGATATTCAGACTTGGAAAAATTTGATTATAGACTTTGCGAAAATCTTCTTAGGTATACCCATTACATTTATTTATTAATTGGAAGGTCTTCAACGCAATGAAACGATTTAACTCTTGTTGTAGAGTACCAAATGTCATGCCCTCGGGGTCATAACGTTTTCATATGTTTTTTTTATTATTTTCTCGTTTTTGATTATTTGCTCATGCCCTGAGTTATGGTTTCGATTGTTATTTGAGTTTAAAACTTGGAACTTTTTCTTTACTTGGTTAACATTGTTAACAGTTGCTGTTTAAGTTGAAGTAGAAGTTTTTCGGAAGTTACATTTTTTTACTGTTTCTCGTTCATTCATTCATTCAAAACTTTCCAGTCATTCGTTTACCCTTAGCTTTGTCTTCTCTTGTCGTTTTCTTTTCTACTTACATTTTTTGCATTTCTTTTCCATTGTCCGAACGGGTTGACAGCTGGCATCTCCCTTCTTCAAATTCAAAGTACGGGAGCGGGTATTAGTCTTGGCATCACATTCGCTCCAATCGCTCTTGGCATAACGGCAGCTGGCTGCAAGAGGTAAAAGAAGGGAGATGGGGGGAAAGGGTAAAGTAGTAATAATGTAATAATAATGGTTTAAAGAATTGATTTAAATTTTATTGTTATTATTTGAATTGTGCTGACTGATTGAGAATCAACGCCCAGATGAAACGACTAGAGGTAGAATTTTGAATTTCGGAAATTTAGGGAGTCTGGCGTGCGTAGACTTCAGATAATGCTGGGTTTTTGGATATTCGTACCAAAAGTGTACGAAAACTTCTAGAATGTACTAAAAACAATTTAAAAAGTATCAGTCGGTATTGCCGACAGATATATACCCTCAGCCTATGTTCGATTAAATAATCGAAATATATTTGACTAGTGTTAAAATTATTCAAACGTTTGACCCTCTATGGAGCCGGTTCCGAAGGAATGGGCCAATATTGTCCATTTTGTATCAGACCCAAAAATATGATATAAACATTCCAACGTTCCTGGTATGGGCTAAATTACAAGAAAGTAAGCAAAAATATTTTTATGTGTGCAATTTGAAGAGATTTGGATGCTTATTTCGCTTTATTTGAGCGTTTTGTTTTTCAAAATCTTAAACCCTAAGTATGGGGGAGGTACCAGAAGAAATGGTTCGATCTATACCACCTTTATAACAGATCTTGTGTTGATAGAAATATTGAGATGTGCCAAGTCTAAATGGAATCGGATCTTAATGTGGCGTTTTATGAGCTTCATGGATATTCAAAATTTCGACACTTTGTGGGGGAGGTAACAGAAGGAGTGGACCGATACATTCCATGTTAACAGCAGATCTTAGGTTCATAAAAATATTAGAATGTGTGACGTTCGGATCCTTTCATCAAATTTTATAAGAGGATTTGCAAAGTTAGAGCAAAATCGGGTAACCGTTTCTCTTTCTGTGCAAAAAATATATTATATATATATTTTTTTTTTGAAAATTTCCTCCAAAAGGAGTGGGCCGATGTATTCCCTCTTAACACCAGACCTTGGGCTAATAAAATTATTGGGATTTCTGAAATTTGAAGACAATCGGACTCTTATATCACATTTTATAAGAATTGTAATTATTCAAAATTTTGACCCTTTGTGGGGGAGGTACTTGATGGAGTGGACCGATATTGTCCATTTTCGCACCTAAACTAGTACTGATGAAAATATAACGATTCGCAAAGTTCGAGCAAAATCGGATTATCCTTTCTCTTTCTGGGCAATAAATTATTTTCTTTGAACATTTTTGACATTTTGTGTGGGAGGTACCAGAAGGAGTGGACCGATATTGCCCATCTCCGAACTCGAATTAAGTTTGACAAAAATATTACTATGTACCAAGTTTGGATCAAATGGGATACACCCTTCGAGAGTTATCGTGCGCACCAGCCAGATAGACAGACGGACGGGCATCGGTAGATCGACTCCAAATGTTCTGAAACGGATTTGGTCCAAAAAGGCCTAGGGTCCAAAACCATTATTTCGACTAGGCACGTTTTGACCGTATCAAATGATATATACCCTCTGTAGCCATATGGCTGAGGGTATAATTAAATATTTGTATTGGACAAAGGGATGAGCTAGAATTGAAATGAAATTTGGAATGAAAGTCACTGATGGAGTGCAGGATACATGTACCAAAGGACTTTTGGAAATTCGAACTTTGTGATTACGACGATTGTATTATGGAACGGATAGAGCTAAAAACTTGAGAATAAAGGTTGTGGGGAAAGTTTGAGATATGAAGTTGGTTTTGGAAATGTGTTCCAAGTGTGCGAACTTCTCTAAATGAAGTCCAAATAATGGTACTAAATTTTTAAAATGGTACAATTTAATACTTGACGAAACTAAAAACTTGAAAAACTTGGTATGAGAATCAAGGTTGGAAAGTAAATTTGAGATATGAATGTGGTTTTGCAAAATGTGTACTAAGTGTGCGAATTGTATTAAATTTAGAATAGTTTGGCTTTAGGTAAACGGATAAAGTTGTAATTTTGAAATATTCCACTCGGGTCCCTGTTGGTCGTAGGGTTTTTGATAAAGTGGTGGTTTTGGAAATGTGTACAACAAGTGAACGAAAGGCACCAAATAGTACTACGTTTGGTACAATTTGGTAGAGGGTGAAGGGATAGAGATTAAATTCTGAACTTTGATATTTAGATTACTGAGTGTTTGAGTTTGACGGCGGTTTGGAAATGTGTCCTATAAAGTGCTAAATGGTACTAAATTTGGTATTTGGTGAAGGGATAATTCTAGAATCTTTAAAACTGATACTGAGGTCTCTTGTGGTATTTGGTATTGAGATATGGAGATGCTTTTTTAAAATTATACGAAAAGTACTAAAGCTGAAATCCTGAAATTTGATATTGAGGTCAATGTTAGTATCCAGGGTTTACAAATGAAGATCTTTTAATACTTTTGGATAGAAAAATTGGATGTGGGTCCATTGTAAAATGGTTTTACTGATTTCGTTCTCGGCCTTTGTGGAGGTACCAGCTGGGTTATATATCCCATCTTCACAGAAGATCTTGTGTTAGTAAAAGTAATGGGATGTGTGAAATATGAAGAGAACCGAATGCTTATTTCGGATTTTATAATCGTTTTGGTTATTCACAATTTTGACCCTTTTGTGAGGGAGGTACCAGAAGGAATGCTCCGATCTCTACCCCTTTTATAATAGATCTTTTGTTGATAGAAATATTGAGATGTGCCAAGTCTGAATGGAATCGAATATTAACTTAGCGTTTCATGAGCTTCATGGATATACAAAATTTTAACCCTTTGTGGGGGAGGTACTAGAAGGAGTAGAGTGATATTTCCCATCTTCACACCAGCTCTTGGGTTAATGAGTGGACCGATATATCCCATCTTCACATCAGATCTTGTGTTAGTAGAAATAATGGAATGTGTGCAATATGAAGAGAACCGGGTGCTTATTTCGAATTTTTTAATAGTTTTGGTTATTCAAAACTTTGAGCCTTTGTGGGGGAGGTACCAGAAGGAATGCTCCGATCTCTACCATCTTTATAATAGATCTTGATAATGCGATGTGGCCAGTCTGAATGGAATTGGATGCTAATTTTACGTTTTATGAGCTTCATGGATATTCCAAATTTCGACCTTTTGTGGGCGTGGTACCAGAAGGAATGGACCAATATATTCCATCTTTACGCCAGACCTTGGGTTGATAAAAATATTTTTATATGCGTAAATAGAAGACAATGGAACTCTTACATCACATTTTATAAAAGTTATAATTATTCAAAATTTTGATCATTTGTGGGGGCGGTACCAGGAAGAGTGAACCGATATTGTCTATTTTCGCACCTGACCTAGCACTGATTCCAATTTTGGGATGCGTAAAGTGGTAGCAAAATCGGATTATTCTTTTTGTGCAGTATTTTTTTTTTTTTTGAAAATTTCGACTTTTCGGGGGGATGTACCAGAAGAAGTGGATCGATATTGTCCATCTCCGAAGTCGACCTCATATTACGATATACCATGTTTGAACCTAATCCGTTTTTTCATTCGAAAGCTATCGTGCGAACCAACCAGCCAGACAGTCAGATGAACATCGCCAGATCGACTCTAAATGCCCTGAAATGGGTCCAAAGGGACTTAGGTTCTTGGCCATATCAAAAGGTATATACCCTCTCTAGCCATAAGGCTGAGGGTAGAAAAATTTTGTCAAACTGAACATATTGTGTATTTTGAGTACTAAAAAAGCCTAAAACGAAGTGTTGGAACGAATCTAAGATTTCATTGTGGACTTTTTCGCCGACGAAGTAGCATCCACTTGCTGGTTTATAGCTTCGGATTTTCGGAATTTTGATGGTTTTGGTCCCGATTTCCAACCAAATCAGCTGTAATTTAATGTTTGGTCTCCTTTTGGGTAGCAGTTCTCAAGAAGTATTCCATATTGGTTCACTTTTTTTTTTAAGTATAGTTCCATTCAAACTAAATTCGCTGTAATTTTAAATTTGGGCTAATTGCAAAAATTTTCAAATATTGGAAGCCACAGTTCCAAAACTACTAAGTTCCCAACCTGTAACCTATTTTTATATATGTTTTCTATTCACTCAATTTTTTATATCTAGCAAAAAAACTCCGAGCACAACTTCCTCCCCTTCATTATTTAGAGCAGGATGCATCACTTGACCTAAGTCAGATAATGCTAGGCGCCTCAAAGAATAATTCCAAAATGTTGATGGCTGTAATATCGCCACGAACATCAATTTCCACCAAACCCATCACACATACCCACCGACACGTAAGAACAACTGTCGAAGATGACAATATTGTCATTATTGTCGAAGTGACAACACCAAGACACCACAAGCCGTTCCATATTTCGACAACCACTCCCACTCATTTTACAGAGCGACGAGAAAAAAAAAACCTGATAATGATGCCGAAGAAAAGAAGTGGTGTTCCATTTCTTGCACCTCTTGAAATTCATTTTATCTTCATGGCGCATAAAAAGAATCGCTTCTCTACTTCTTCTTCGTCTCCATTGTTTTCTACTGTTGTCTCCTTGATTTTTTTTTCTATTTTCTCAATTGTATTTGCTTGTCGGTGCCTCATTTTGCCTTCCCTCCGCCCTTCCATCCCTATGCCAGCCGTTTCCAAGTTCCATTTAATTGTGTTTAAAACAAACTCTTATAAAAATGAGTACGACGAGAAAAAAAAAAAATTGTAATTAAGTTTACCCATTATTTTCATCGTCAGTTTTGTTTTCTTTCTTTTTTTCCGCCCATCCTTTCCCTTTCTTCTTTGTCTTCAATGTTCGGATTTTTTTTTGTGTGAAATGTTTGTAATGTTCCTTCCCTTTTTTCGCATATATACTATACAAATTTTTATAATTTGTTGTTTATCGCAAGTGTTGAGAACTTCAATGAATCAGAGGTGTGGCAAAATTTCGATAGGGGAAAAACATGGAAAAATGGGAACTGAATAGAGCTAAATTCTGTGTTTTAGTACGGCAGGATGAAATTTCGCACATTGAAAAG